CTGTGGAACGGGCTCTTCCTCTTCCTCCGTCTCAGCCTCTCCTGCTGAGAGCTCCCAGACCGCGGCCAGTCCAGCCCTCGCCCCCGAAGGGCGTTACCGGCACCATGCTCGCAGAAGGGCCTCAGCTGCTGAGCGAAGGGACATTCCCTTTTGCAGGAAGCGCAGGAGAAGGTCGTTCCCCTGGGATGTGCCTGGGTCAGACCCGAGGGGGCTGGTGGTGGTGCGGAACGGCCAACCTCTGCCCGTCTGACATGGCAAAGCGGGGTGATGCTCTGCCAGCAGACACAGCTGCCTCCAGGAGCCTCTGATTTCCAAAGGCCAAACAGATGAATGTACCTGAACCAATGAAAGAGATCTGAACACCAAAATCCCCGTGGCAGCATCCCTTGCATCCCTACTCCTTCCCCCTCCCGGAGGCACCGGGGCACAACTTCAGCTGAAGTATCCCTGAAGTATTACAAGAACAGATGAACTTATTCACCCCCCAAATGTTTGCGTTTTTTTAAATAAAAAAACTTCATCTAAGCTAGACCATAGGCTTGAAAATTATTTATATTTCCTGAAAGGTATGGGAACACGGGAAGAGGTGGCCAGCAGATCCCTGTCCTGCTGCAAGGCACGGCACAACCTGAAGGCGCAGTTGCCACCTGAATCCAGACCTATTTATTTCGAGAGGGCAGATGCACACCCGGCTGCAGACTGAGCCCTCCCGCCTCTTCCCAAGCAATATTTCTTTACATAAGTGCCTGCTTTTATAGACCTGACTCACAAACCTCCCCACCTCAGTAATATTTTAAAGTAAATTTAGCACTGGTGATACATGCCTGACCTAGAGGGAACTCCATTTATAGCATGGCAGGGAAATACCCACGTATGCCCCCTTCTGCGCCCGGCCTCTCTGCTCGGGTGTTTCTCCTGCGGGGCGCCAGGCTGACGAAGCCCAAGCACCGGTTCAGCCTCCCCTGACATGGGAAGGTGGGGGACGCTCATGGGCTCTGCCACTTCTTCGGCACCAGGACACAGGTCCCCGCCGTTCTCCGGCGGTGACAAGGTCCTCACATGGTCCAGTTACTCTTTAATGTCATAAATGATCATTTGGGATCATTAATAGCTGGACCCACCAGGGACACCTGACCAGTGCTTTCACAGCTGCTCACGGTTTCTTTTTACACCTGCAGCATTCCTGAGCATCCTGCAGAGTTTTAAGAAAAGGTTCCCTTAAAAAAAAAAAAAAAATCTGACGGTCCAGCAGCATTTCACCCTGAAAGAAGCCAGCTCAGCACAGGTCTGAAGGCGGATGGATCTGTAGCAGAGCACACACCCAACGCACGCACCAGCAAAGATCTGAAGAAAGTTTCCATGACGGAGCTAGAAGCTCAGTGGGACTTTGCAACCTGCAGCGAGGAGCTTCTGGTTCTTTTCCACACACCTTCAGAAAGACAAAAGATGAATAATATTGTCCCTGCTTCCAAGAACCTTGCCTCAGATGGATGGGTATGGGCAAGGAAGATAAGAAAAGAAACAAAACATCATCTGAAGGGACTGAAGCCTACCTGCTTACAGCACTTATGGAAGAGCACGCTGTGCTCCTGCACCAAAGCGGTCATCAGGGATTTTTGGCTGCGCTCTAGGTGTGGCTTTGATCGATGAGCTTCACGTTGCTCTGGGACAGCCTTTCTGGACTTCAAAGGCAGGATAGTTTTTTTAAAAGAAATTAAAATTATGATACCACAAAGAAACGAACGTGTCTGAAATGTCTAGTTGAAGCCAAACACCCAGGAAGCGAGGGAGGAGAATCTGATGGGCAGGGCAGCAAGCGGACAAAAAAAGGTGAAGCCAGAGAAAATGCAAGACCTCAAGGGACACGATGGCAGACGCCATCTCAAAATCACACTGCTGGCTGACAGAGGATTCACCGGGCGTGGAAGTCAAGACAACCAGAAAATTATCCGCAATGAGAACACGGCAAAGGCTCTTTCAAAGGCAGAGGGACTTTAATTGCGGTCAGACGTCTCCTGCTTTACCAACAGCGCTACCAAAACTGGGTTAGCAAAGCCTCAGGGTCCCACTAAGAACAAAGAGCGAGGAGGGCTGCAGCGACAGGGACAGATCGAGCAAGGGAGGAGCAGCAGCACGCGTGCCAGCAACCCTCCCGGCCAGCGCCAGGGGAGGGGGGCGATGACGGCACCAGCAGGCTCCGAGGGCGTAACGAGCACGTCCCAGGCGCTGAGGCACAACCCTGGCTTTTGTACCCAAAGACCCTTGTTTTGGCTAAAGGATTAGCATTCAGAAAATGTAAATACCTGCTGTAAACATCGAGCTTTTCTATTAAAACATTCAAAACCCAAGTCCACGCAGCAGTACACCTCCCGCTTCCAGTGGAAGGGAGCAAACAAAGACCCTCCTGTCTTT